CACACACACACACACACACACACACACACACACACACACACACACACACACACACACACACACACACACACACACACACACACACACACACACACACACACACACACACACACACACACACACACACACACACACACACACACACACACACACACACACACACACACACACACACACACACTTGATTTTCATTGCTGTGCTCAAGGGCAAAATAAAGTTTACACTTTATCCTACAGGAAAATCTGGTCTTGGGAAGTCAACACTCATGAACTCCATGTTCCTGGCTGACATCTACTCGACTGAATATCCCGGTCCATCACATCGGATAAAGAAAACTGTTCAAGTTGAGACTACGAAGGTGCTGCTCAAGGAGAATGGCGTGAATCTAACTCTGACCGTAGTGGACACGCCTGGCTTTGGCGATGCTGTCGACAATAGCAATTGGTTAATATTGTGATTTGTACAGAAAAGTAGTAATTCACATTCAGACTTGGTGATAATGAAGCCAGCCTTGTTAACATTTGTCACCCATGCATTGTGATCCCATGTACCTGTCAAGGTAGGTCAGTCCATGCCCTGATTGGTGGACGCAGATGGGGCTCTCAAGTTTTCCTTCTCATCACCCAAACTTCTTCCACTTTTGTGTCTCACCCTGTCATCTCTGTTGTCATCTTTCTCCTTCTTCTCAACTGGCCCCCTTTGTATATTGACCACCTACCACATCATCAACATAATTACCACGCCATACTCATCTGGATCTCCCAGTCTGTTTGTTTTCATAACAGTTGTTTTTTGTTCCAATTCAACTTATGAATTTCTTAGTTTAAGGCATCAGGTTTATGAAACTCCCATCTCACCGCCAGGAATCTTTCCTATTTCCATGGTCCTACCCTAAGCTTTCAACTAAACTTCCAACTTATTTGTCTTCTCTCTGCTTATGTGTCTCTGACTCAGAAATGAAGGTTAGTGGACTCTCCTTACTGCCCCTACATGCAGATCTAGGTGCAGAGTGAGGACATAATTCATATACACTCATGTAGTGCCTTAGTTGGTCCCAGGTGGCGTAGACCAGTGGTATTCAACCTTTATACCCCTAAAGTTGTTTGTGTATAATTCAGGTTATACATAGTATATAATCTACATCTAAAATAAATTAAATGAATTACATTACTAATTATTCAGTGTTTATCATAATTTTTTTTTAAATTTCACATACCCTCAGGTTGAATACCACTGGCATAGACCATAGACTCTTTTGATGGCCATGTAATCAGTGGTCTGGCTCTGCCACTCTGACTGGGAGCTGCGATGTAATCAGCGACACGTTAGAACCACCTCCAACAACATATACATTCAATCAGCCTGAGGTTTCAACCCAAACTGAAAATCTCCCAACCCCTCTGTACCTGGTGTGAAGACAAATTCATGTTTGCCACCCACACTTGATGTCAGACAGCCCCAAAATATTGACCAATAGCCCCCAGTCAGAAGACCACGGTCCCGATTTGTTGGGGTACACATAAAAAGTTATGTGACAGTAATCATACTGAATACTTTAACATTCTTCACAAATTCCTTAAACAAAATCAGTTAAAAATGAACAGGCTACTGAAATAAATATAATTATACATCTAAGAGGCTTCACAATATATTCAGGGAATAATTTCCTGTATTGGTGGACATTAATATATTTATTCAAAATCCTTTCAATGAGTCCAGTATCTTCTCATCATAGGGGTTGAATACTGAAGTTACAAAGAAACAGAAATCTCCAATGATTTACGAACTAAAACTAAGAATCAAAAGTCTGTCACTGATTAACATTCGGCTGAGCATAAGGAAAGGTTACTGCTCTCGGGCCATGTGATATTAATCTGCACTCTAGGAACCACAAGCTGCAATGAACTGTCCTGTTAAGGGGAAATCAATTATTCTCATCCATCTGGTTCATAACTGAAGTATCCCTTTATAAGAAAATAATTTTCAGTGTTTTTAACTGTAGTGAGTTTTAAGTGGAATAATAATATTGAACTCATTCCTACTGACTGTTGAATGTTTTTATGGACTTCCCTTGTAGTTTATCCTAACTTTTATTGTTCATGCAATTCTTATTTCTAGGGGATGCTTTAGTTTGGTTAGTGGTAATTCCTTAGGTATTTGCAACTGATATTTTTGTCTTATAATTATGGTTTATAGTAAGACTGGGCACTTTTCACATTTGCTAGATAACTGTTTTTATACACAAGCCAAACAAAAAGAAAACTCAAAACAGCGGTTGTGGTTCGCAAGATTTACAATTTTTATGAAAGGGGTTGGCAGGATGAAAAAGTTTGGGAACCACAGGTCTAAAACTTGGTTCCAGGCATAGCCAAGGATTTCTGGGTCACAGGGTCACATAGTCATTTTGGTCACAAACGGATTGTTGGTTTCAGCTCTTTCCTGTAGATTTCTAGCACTAAAAAAGGTCTGAAGTATAAATCAAATCCGTACTCATATAAACCAAACCTCAATCTGAGGAACATTGCAGCAAGATGAAACTAAACTGCGGTGCCAGAAAGTGCTGACACTGTTGGTGCACATGTACGTTAGGTGGTGGTGGGGAATGTGTTACTAGATGAGAAGAGAAGAACGAGCCATACGCAGGATATTAGGAAACTGTTTCAATTACTGTGGAGCAGTGGGAATTTCAGTGATGGCTGTAGTTAGAATGATGTTTGTTCATGAATGTGTTTCAGTTGGCTGCCTGTAATAGACTATATTGAGTCAAAATATGAGGAGTACCTGAATGCGGAGTCACGTGTCAACCGTCGCACGCTGGCTGACAGCAGAGTTCATTGTTGTCTGTACTTCATAGCTTCGTCAGGTCACGGCCTCACGCCCCTTGATGTGGAATTTATGCAGAGGCTGCATGATAAAGTTAATGTCATTCCTATCATTGCCAAGGCTGACACCATGACACCAGATGAATGCAGTCACTTCAAGAAACAGGTAATGACTTGTCCTAGCGTACCGTCACATTGTGTGCATCAAATCATAACATTTGCTTTTGTGTGTTGGCCACAGTGCTGCAGCAGTGATTACTTGATATCTTTTTCAAGAACTGCACTCTGTAGAACACTGAATAAATTGTATTTTCTTCAGCATTATGTGATGAGTCCATAAAGCCGTAATTTACCCCCCCCCCGTTTGTTTGTTTTTTGTTTCTCTCTCTCCT